AATACAATTTTAAGTGGAACCCACCATATTTGAGCCGCGGCTCAAATTCTCTAAAATCGGCCTCTGATTCGATATCCGACCGCGCGAGCTTAATATTTTATATGACTTTCAAAATTATGCTATATGGTATTTATGCAAATATTAAAGTAAATGTATAAATGATCAAAAGTTAATGGCTGTAATCGTGTAAAAAGGATTGTTTTCACCGGTCACCCGAGTCACCCGGTACCCCGTGTTTTCAGTTAATAATTGTAATCCAGTAACGAACAGACACATATCTCACGCGACACACACACGTACACACGACCTCCTGATTTAGATAGATATTAGATAGATAGATAGATATATGATGGAACAGCTGTTGTTAGACTCGCTACCCCCTCCCCTCCTTTCTCATCCTTTCTACCTATCTATCTATCTTTATTACTCAAGTATATATCTATCTATCTGTCTATTGTATTCAAGTATCTATCTATCACATGAAAATAAGCTCATTGCTAAGCTAATGCGCCGATATACCGGCTACAGCAAGCAAGCGCGTTTTATTCAGTCAAGCGTAACTACATCGTGAATCAAGTACTGAACAAGTTTACATGTTTTATTAAGGTGCTCGCCTTTGGATGTGTACATAGAAATAGACGTTAATCAATCAAAGTTTACATGTTTTTGTGAAACTGTGAGTCATAATAATTTAACAAACTGAAACACCAAGGTTTCTAATTTCATAACATTAAGTTACTTGGTATATTGGTAATTTCCTAGAGAACGTTTTTCGGACCTCCCCCTCCCCCCCCTTATCAATTTTGCATACATGGATCGCATATTCTCCCCCAACCCCTTCAAAAAAAACATGTCGTACCAGGATCACCAGGATGACTAAGCTCTCATTATTACCAAAAGTAAAGAAATTGAATATTGCCAAAAAATTGTGGATTTTTTTTAATGAAATTGTTTAATATTTCAGAGACCAGAATGCTATTGTGCCTGGTATGACAGTGACAAGTATGGCGGCTACAAGCAAAATACCGCTTCCTAAATCGGCGGTTTCTAGCCCCAGTGGCGGGGGTTCAAGTCCCGCCGTGTCTAAAATACCGGTGAAAAAAGATTTCCGCTCTCCCGGCTATTCTAATCTGAACAAGGAAGAGAAATGTGTTTTAGACAATCATTTTTTAACAAAGGTCTCTTAGGGACTATAATAGCTGTCAATTCAAGTGTGCTTCATTATACTTACTTGATACTTGTGTGTTGATCCTCAGTGTTCCATCTAGGAATATGTAGAGGATTTTTTTAGGAACTAATGATCATCTGCTGGAAGAATGGTATCTTCTAGGTTTGTGAATTGATCCCAGTGATCATTGTGGATCTAATGTAGTAGTCATACTTGTTTTTGAATAAATTAATATTTTTGGCGGATTTAACATCTTGTGGTAATTTATTCCACGAGTTTACAACTCTATTACTATTATAGAGTGACATATCTGATTCACAACATTACCCGTAAAATATTTATAACTCGATTTGTAAAATAAACTAATTTTTTATTTTAAAGTATGAAAAAGGGCGAACCCTGCTCTCCAGGGCGTATACAGAATTTTTTTTGCCCCCCCCCCCTGAAAGTTTCTAAGGGGGCGGGGGGCAAAATTTGAACCGTGTAAATTCAAAACATTTGGCTTCTTGGATACTTTTAAGGTACACATACACTATACAGTCCAATTACCATACATAGGACTACTTTAGCTCTACATCAAACAAAACTAGCAGAAAAAAAACTGCAAATTAATGTTTTTAATATTCTTCACTCTTCAGTCTCAGATTTGTATAGCTCGGAGTTCTAGGGGGGGGGGGGCTACGCCTCCCCCTTTACAGGTCTAGGTAGGGGCACTGCCCCCTTTGCCTCCTCCCTGTATACGCCCTTGCCTGCTCTTAAAATATATATATCTTTTGAATATTTTGGAAAAACATTCTTTAACCAGGAGAACTGTGACGGTAAAAGATTGGACGCTTCTCCTTTGGTCCGCCCGGATTACGGACTCAATGGGAAAGGAATTGAGAGCAGAGTAGTTGATGGGAAAGAATTGGACTATAAAGGACTAAACGGGGGAAAACAGTCCAGAATTCCTGATATCAGGTCCAAGAGAAGTCCACAGAAAGAAGTTATTTCGTCTAGGTATTTTTAAAAGTGAACCTTTTTGAGCAAACACATCGCAGTAAAAACATGTTAATAAGTAATTTTATAAGTTTAGCAGTAACTGAGGTTTTATATATTACAAAACCTGTTTAAGAGTTATTTCCCCATTTTATTTTATATTAAAAATTTATTTAACATTTTTTAACGCTGAATCGGGAAAATTAATGAAGAGTTTTTACACCCTCTCCCCCATCAATATATACTTTGCTTGTTGGTTAGTCCCAGGGAAGGTTTATGAATAGTCAGAACTTTGCCTCAAAAAATTACTTTTTTTATTAATCCACGAAAAAAATCGATAAATCCTAAAACATTTTTTGTTATCGTTTTATAATTTAATAAGAGAAAATGCCGCAGATAGGAGCAACATTTAATGTAGGAGCAATATTAATTTATACTATTTAGATCTAGAACTGATCTGTATAGAGATGTATCTGATATGTCAACTGATGACCAGAGATCAAGTCGGTCAACCCGTTCCCGGTCAATATCTACTAGCAGCGAACCCAGGTCCGGGGATACCAGCGACCAGACGGACGGCTGCGTGTTGCGGCCGCCAGAACCGCGCCGGAACGATGGACGAGAAGCGCGGCCGAGTCAGCTCACTCTGACCGGAAAAGCTAAGACAAGTAAATCTGTTGCAGGAAGTAGGATTCCTCTATCTCCAAGCATGCTGGACAGGTTATAGATAGTCATATCTCAACTGCCGGGGAAGGAGGGAGGGAAATCTTTTCTGATTCAGGATTCAGCTTTCACATCAAGAACCCAAATTATCGATTTTTATTTTTTGATGTCGAATAAAAGAGGGACTGTAGTCGTAATTTCATGTGACCCTACATGCATGGAGGATAATGCCCGATTTACATTGGTACCTTTAAAATCTTTCTTTGATCAATAATGTGGGAGGTATTGTCTTTTTTCAAGTTTTTAAAATGTTTATTTTTGATAATTTTCATATGTTTTTATGCAGTAGAAATTCGCAAGTCACTTTTAAAGTCACAATTGAAAATAATTATTTTTCAAAATTTTAGACATTTCTAATACTTTATCAGGCAAAGCATTTAAGGGCAGTGGTGTGAAACCGGCATCACAACCTTTGCAGAGAGTGTCACTTACAGTGCATACAGTCTTTAAAGTGTCGAGGGTTGATAAATTCTAGACTGTTAGTGGATAAATACTGGACCGCTAGTGGATAGATTTTAGACCGCTAGTGGATAAATTCTAGACCGCTAGTAGATAAATTCTTGACCGCTAGTTGATAAATTCTAGACTTCTAGTGGATAAATTTTAGACCGCTAGTGGATAAATTCTAGACCGCTTGTGAATAAATTCTAGACCACTAGTGGATAAGGTCTAGACCGCTAGTGGATAGATTTTAGACCGCTAGTGGATAAATTCTAGACCTCTAGTGGATAAATTCTAGACCGCTAGTTGGTCAATTTTAGACTTCTAGTGAATAAACCTGGAAATATTAATCCACACTATTATTAAAAAAAAAGCAGAGACAGTGTAAGTTCTTGTTATAGAAATGCAAAAAGTTCGGACGGATTTAAATTACTTGGATTTAAAAATACATGTTTTAGGAATCTCAATATAGATAACACAATTTGATATCTTGTTTTTGTTTGAAATTGATCTTTAAAAAGCATAATTTTATTATGTAATATTCAATTTAATAATCCTTGATTTAATATAATCATGAACAATGGATTAATTTATTATTATTCGTTTGCCTATTTATTATACAATACAATTGATTTATTGGAAAGTAAATAGTTGATTGGTTGATTGATTTCAGGGACCTACGAAGTGTATCTGGAAGCAGGAAAGCTAGTATTGAATCATTGACAAACCTCTCTCCTGAGTGGGAAACCCAAATGGTAATCTTTAAAAAATCCGCCATTTTATATCAGAAAAAATTACAATTTCCTAAACTCGATTATTATAACCATTAAGAACTATTCTTTAGATAATCCGTTTTTTCTCTCTAATTTTCTTATTTTTGTCGATATTTTTATCATTGTGAATAATTTTTTGATTGATTTGCTCTTCAAAAAAATCCCGCCCCCTCCCTCTCGGAAAAACGTCCTAAAGTTTTGTAAGTTAAATTGGTAATTTTACTGTAGATGAGCAAGAAGGGGAAAATATCGGGCCCAGTTATTTTTATCACCAATAAAAATTATTATCTCATTTTTAAAATCAGTTCTCAAAAATCGAATTTAATGAGCAAGAAACTGTCCCCTTTCCATATTTTCCAAGAGGGGGATGTTTTTTTGGCAAAATGTTTTGTAAGAATTAATGTTTAAGTTAAAAACAATTTTAAGAGCTATGAGGAGCTAGCTGAACCCCTGGAAATAGATTGCAGTCGTACAAGCAAATCAAGGTATAACCAATAATTTTAACCTAAATTTACAAAAATGCACGAAATATTGTCGATAAAATGCGGGAAATATATTTTAGATCTGATTCGCCTGGTAAGCGAGGTCGGCCTAGCAGCCCAGCTGTTTGTAAGATGCGTCGGACTAGTCCTGATGGAGAATCTGTTAGTCCCAGTAAAACAAGAAAACCTAGGAAAACATTCATTCAATTTGGAAACATTGCTGTGATCAAAGAACGAAATCANTACTGTACTGTACTGAACTGTACTGTACTGTACCGTTCTGTAGGCGAGGCAGTGAGTCTGGTTTATTGAGTCCCGCCTACTACTCTGAATATGAAACTGCAGGAGAACAGGTTAATTATGGAGCATGGAGCATGAAGAAAAGGGACCCGGGGGCCCCAGGGTAGAATCGATTTGAAGGGCGAGGAAATGCATAATAACACTTTGATCTCACTCTCTTTAAATTATGAAATTGTACAAATTTTTATCACATTTTAAAACATATCTTTATGGCATTTTTCATTGACATTGGGAAAGCTATTGTTAATATTATTTTTTTTTAATCTAGGGGAAAATAAAGAAAAACAATTTTGAATAAAAAATTTTGATTTTTTTAGCCTATGTCACTTTAGGCTACCCACGAGTGTCCACAAAAAATTTCAGCCCTTTCGGTCCAGCTGTTTGACCGACTTTAGGGAACATATTTATGAATGTCTTGTTTTATAATATAGATACTTTCTGTTTAAACAATGTTTTTAAGTGTCCTACACTGTACAATGTAACTAGGAAAAAATACAAATTAAAGTGAGTGTTCATGATTTTTCAAAGAATGAACTATAATTAGATCAAGTAAAATGGTTTAGTTTTTTTAAATCTTATGGTTGTTGTCAAATGAACAGAATTTTAAGCTTCCCTGATTCTCAAGGGTACCATTGAAATGAGGAAGATTTTATCCACTTTTTATTATGAAATGAAAGCCAAGTTTTCTAATTTCGTTAATTATTTGTGCTGCAATGCATTGCATTGCATAATTCTGCAAGTCACATACTTTGCANCTTTGCATAAATCTGAAAGTCACAATCAAAACAGCCAAGAGCTATTTTCCACCTAATTGCTTTATACTTGTACTGTTAATATAATCATCAATTTTGGGATTGTAAACTCTATCTGTATGCAGATACATTTATTTTAGCAATAAACTTTATCTATCTTTTCATACTTTGCATAAATCTGCAAGTCACAAACTTTGCATGAATCCACAAGTCACATACTTTGCATAAATCTGTAAGTCACATACTTTGCATAAATCCACAAGTCACATACTTTGCATAAATCTGCAAGTCACATACTTTGCATAAATCTGTAAGTCACATGCTTTGCATAAATCTGCAAGTCACATACTTTGCATAAATCCGCAAGTCACATACTTTGCATGAATCCACAGGTCACATACTTTGCATGAATCCACAGGTCACATACTTTGCATAAATCCGCAAGTCACATGCTTTGCATAAATCTGCAAGTCACATGCTTTGCATAAATCTGCAAGTCACATACTTTGCATGAATCTGCAAGTCACAAACTTTGCATAAATCCACAAGTCACAAACTTTGCATAAATCCACAAGTTACATACTTTGCATAAATCTGCAAGTCACATACTTTGCATAAATCCGCAATTCACATACTTTTGCATAAATCTGAAAGTCACATACTAAGAGGAATGCATAAATCTGCAAGTCACATACTTTGCATAAATCCGCAATTCACATACTTTGCATAAATCTGAAAGTCACATACTAAGAGGAACCTCAAGGGAAAATGGAATTTTTAGTTAAGAACAGGATTTCTCCATAGTTTTGCCTAGTTAACAGTTTAAAGAGAGAGGGAGTCCCATGAATGATATAAAATGTTGATGTCCAGGATGCGGATGATGATGTGGGGGGCGGAGGTGAGGGTCTAGGAGAACTAGGAGTTGATCTGGGTGACGGCCACCATGTTGGACCTGTTCATGATCTTCTTTTTAGACAAGGGCTTCACCTAGGTAAACAGTGTATACATTGTACAGTACTAGAACTTCATGTAATATAAGTTGACCAAGTTGATTTTTATGGCAAAAAAATACTTTTTGATTGATTTTTATTTTTTATGTTCACGTGACACAAGAAAAACATAAAATTCAAAAAGTAAGATTTTTTTTTTGCCTTGTAAACCTATGGATAAATTCAATTTTACAATGGAGAGTATTAATGATTATTATTTGGGAAATTGGCCTTAACTTAAACCGAGGTCCTTTGAAAGTTAAGGGTTCCTTAAAATTATGTGTCTCTTCATTTTGTTTTTTATTTTAGATTTGGGAGATTCGTTGCCCAGGTCGCCATCTCACAGGGACACAGTCATTTCATTCCCACATTTTAATCATTTTATAATGCGGAGATTTTATTGTGATAATAATTTAGAATTTAGGGGCGTTCGGATGATTTTAAACATTTTCCTATTTTGGAAATAATTTATTTTGAAGTTGAATTTTTTTAATGTGGGTTTTTATCTCCTTTTTAGTATTTAGTTTTTAGGCTCCCTTATTGCAGCCTGTGGCGCCTCAGAGGTCCTAACCTAACCTTTGGGAAATTGCACATTTGGGAAGTTACCACTTGAGAAATTGATGCTTGGGAAAACGAACTTGAGAAAATGCAAATGGGAAAGTACCTAACACCGTTAAAACAGGTGTGGGGGGGGGCTTTTTGCGAATTTATTTGTTAATGCTTGAAAACACCCGCCCAGTGACGTCACAAAATTGATTGTACATGAGACGACTGTATCCTGTATCCAGGTCTAATCTGCCCCACCCAAACTGGAGTATCGCAAAGGAGGCCACTCCGAGGTTAGTCTTATATTCTTTTACCACAGTGGTCGTCGTATATATCAATACAATGAAGACAACTTTCGATTTATTTTTTTTATTCCTACCAAGCTTTCAAACATCATCGTTACACATGGAAAGAACGAGAAGCTGTCAATTAACAGCTTATCTTTTTGTTTACTTGTAAACTAGTTATTTGTGAAATCCAAATTTAAATAGAAAAGTCGTCTTCATTGTATTGATATAAACGCCGACCACATTAGTTAAAGGGGAAGGGGGGCTAAAAAAGTATTTTCCAATGATGCAAAAAAAAAATTGTTTTAATGGTAGATTTATGTTCATCGCAGTGAATTTTCTTGTTCAAAAATAAGTTTTTAAAGTTGATTTAATTTGTTTTACAAATTTTGGAGAGAATGAAAGAAATGTATTTAAAAATGACAAAAGTCTTTAAAGCCATATTTAACAATTTTCCAAAAGGATCAAAGAAGTGCACAAGGGTAAAAATGTTTTTTCACCATTTTTCTCCTATTTAACAAAAAAAATACATTTTTGTTTCAGGAAACCGACCCACTCTGTTTCCAGCTCTGAGTTGCCCGCCCCCTCCTTACCCTCTCCCCCGACCACGCCCTCAGAGAGGAAGTTCCACTCCACCTCCCGCCTACCCGCCATCAACACAAAGGAACAGTTTATTCATCATATTTATCGTTTTAAGACAAATAAAAGGATTGTTCTATTTGGGTAATGGAAGAGGTTCAATCCTCCACTTCTCTCTCTCAAATAGATATCTCCTGGAAGAGGTTCAA